CCATCTCCCTAACAGACTTTCTAGCTGAGGATGGGGGCACCGGTGGAGGAAGCACCTATGTCCCCAAACCAGTCAGCTGGGCTGATGAAACAGACGATCTGGAAGGAGATGGTAATGTCCCTTTGTCATTGTCCTTAGAACTATCCTGCTTAAATTTTCACTGTTTCACAGTTGTTTTCCATAATTTGATTCATTTGTGATTGGAAAGGATCTTACTTTGTAGAGCCTGAAATTTTTTGTGTGTTTTGGGATGTTGAGTTTACTCTGGTTGGCTCTCAAACTGAAAAGAACTTTCAGAATACCTACTGGCTGCTACATTAAGATTGAGTAGCTAGCTGGGTGGTGGTGGTGCACGCCTTTAATCCCAGCACTCGGAGGCAGAGGCAGGCGTATGTCTTTAGTTGAAAGCTCAGCCTGGTCTACAGAGCCAGTTCCAGGACAGCCAGGACTACACAGAAACCTTGTCTTAAAAGAGTGGTTAGGTGTTGTGATGCACACCTTTAGGCCCAGGTCCTGTCTGTTGCTGGCTACTGTTTGAATGTACAAGGCATTCTGTATTTTCACACATAATTAGTTATGGTATACATAATTTAGCAGATTGCATTGCAGCATCACTTATGGGGATAATAAAATTCTACACCTAAAAGAAACATAAAACTTCTTTGTTTGTGGTGTTGTAATTGGTTGGTTGTTGTGGAGAGTTTGTGTGATTTCTCTATTCAGCCTTAACTGACCTGGAATCCATAGAGATCCATTTGCCTTTGCCTCTGGAGTGCTAGGATTAAAAGCCTGTGCTATTATGCCTGGCTGTTTTTGGTTGGGGTGCATGTATGTTTCTGTTGCTGTTTGTTACAGACAAGGTCTCTGTAAAACTGTCTTGCTATATAGACTGACTGACCTCAAGCTTTCAGAGATCTGCTCACATCTACTCACTGCCCCCAGTACTGGGATACAGGCGTGCACCACCACCTCAGAACTTCTTTGTAGTTATTGGGGCATGTCAGTCTAACCACCTTTCTTCCTCCTTTTTCCCTTAAAACTTAATTACAAACTGATTACTTTGTGTGTTGCCCATTTTTATAATAAAAATAGGAAATTTCATATAGCTTATACCTTCTCTAAATGTTGAAACTAAATACAAATTCAGGGACCAGGACTAGAATAGTTGGTTTTGTTTGGTTTGTTTGGGGGGAAGGTAAACCTTGAAGGAAGCCTGGTGAGGCGGTACATACCTGTAATCCCTGCAGTGGGAGGGGAGGCAGAAGGGACCTAAAGCCCGGGTTTCATAACTCTGTCTCCAAAAAGCAGAGGTGGAGGGGCAGAGAACACAAGGTCCAGCCCTGTGGTGGGCGTGGGAGAGCTGTCTGTCAATAGTGGTTAATGTACATCAGAACAGACATGAGTGCTCATTACTCCTGCTTTTCTCTCACTGTGAATATTTTGCTTGTGTGCTGTTGGGTGCCCCGGAACTGGGATTACAGATGGTCATAATAATTAAACCTGAGTCCTGCAAGAACAAGTGCTCTTAACTCCTAGGCCATCTTCCCAGCCTCACTCCTGAATTTTAACACCTCAGAAGCATTTTCCTTGTCTTTTTGCATTGCTAAAGCACACCCATTATTGTCTTGTGCTTCAGTGGTACAGCCTTGTTGTGGCTTGGGCTGGTGTTGGCATGAATCTCTGGTTCTATAACACCAGTTATAAGGGAGTATTGCTCTTAATTCCTTTTTCATTTGTTTGTTTGATTTGTTTTAATCTTGTATGGGTGCTTTTTGAGACAATATCACTTTATAGTTTTGACTGGCCTGGAATTTACTGTTAACTACCAGGCTGGTCTCAAACTTTGAGCCAGCCTCTGCCTCTATGCCTGCTGGGGTTTGGGTTTGAGTGTCTCATTCTGTAGCCCAGGCTGGCCTTGCTCTCACGTCAGTCCTACTGTCCATCCTTCCAAGTGCTCTACCATGCCTGGCTTCTTAACCCCTTCTGTCTGCTCTTCTGTCCTAGTGTCAACAACCTGGCACAGTAACGATGACGATGTGTACAGGGCACCTCCAATTGACAGATCCATCCTTCCCACTGCTCCACGGGCTGCTCGGGAACCCAATATCGACCGGAGCCGTCTTCCCAAATCGCCACCCTACACTGCTTTCCTAGGGAACCTGCCCTATGATGTGACAGAAGACTCTATTAAGGAATTCTTTAGAGGACTAAATATCAGCGCTGTACGCTTACCACGTGAACCCAGCAATCCAGACAGGTTGAAAGGCTTTGGCTATGCGGAGTTTGAGGACCTGGATTCTCTGCTCAGTGCTCTGAGTCTCAATGAAGAGGTAAAGAGACAGTGGAGGCAGTGCCAGGGTGGAGGACACGCTTCACTTCCACCAGACCAAGTCACACTTCCAACCAGACCAAGTCATTTGAACTACAGTGGTTTCCATTAATTAGGGGAAACACTTTTGATGGAATTTTAGGGAAGAAGAAATATATCATGTGCCAGGTTTCTAAAACCTGCTTAATACTTTGTCTCAGCTCTAAGGTTTTACTTTTTCAAGATAAACTGTCCTAATAAAGGCAGATAGAGCCTGGGTGGTGGTGGTGGCGGCAGCAGCGCACGCCTTTATTTAATCCCAGCACTAGGGAGGCAGAGGCTGGTCTACAAAGTGAGTTCCAGGAAAGGCGCAAAACTACACAGAGAAACCCTATCTCAGGGGGAAAAGAAAAAGGCAGAAAAGTAAACCAGTTTTTATTAAAGGGCATTTTTTTCAGGGCTGGGGGTGTTTAACCCCAGAAACCCCTGATCACTTCTGAGAAACCCATTTCCTCTGCCACATTCCATAGTCTAAACCTACATTTGGTATGATTGTAAATAAACAGCTCTTAGAAATACTTTCACTGGGGGGCTGGAGAGATGGCTCAGAGGTTAAGAGCACTGGCTGCTCTTCCAAAGGTCCTGAGTTCAATTCCCAGCAACCACATGGTGGCTCACAGCCATCTATAATGAGATATGGTGCCCTCTTCTGACCTGCAGGCATACATATAGGCAGAACGCTGTATACATAATAAATAAATAAATCTTAAAAAAAAAAATAAGAAATACTTTCACTGAATAGTGATTGAATGTCATAACCGGTATCAGATAGTGGTAAAAATTCACGGGTACAGCCAGACACATTGGTTCATACCTGTAATCTCAGCTTTGGGTCAGTATTTAAAAGGCAGTTTAGAAAAGGGAAGTCGGGATACACAGAAATACTGAGTGAAAACAGTGAGGTGTAGACAACATCCTGGCTGCTGTGCGGTGTCCTGTTTGAATCAAATGCTTTGGTACTAATCATGCTAGAGTAGTTGTGGTTTTTGTTTTGTTTGGGTGGGTTTTTTGTTTGTTTGGCTTGGTTTTCCAAGACATGTTTTCTCTGTAACCACTCTGGCTATCCTGGAACTCACTCTGTAGACCATGCTGAACTCAAACTCACAGATCTGCCTGCCTCTGCCTCTGGAGTGCTGGGATTTAAAGTGTATGTCATCACCACCTTGCGATTGGTTAAATTTTAGTCCCATCTCCCGTCGTGTGTGGGTTCCCCCCCTTTTTGAAGCTGGGTCTCTTCCTGTATATTCTGGGCTGGAACCTGGAGTGACTCTGGCCTTGCCTCGCTCCTGAGGGCTGTAATTATAAGCATGTTAACTGATTGAGAATTGCTTTCAGGATGCTTAACAAACTGCTAGAGAGTTAATTCCATTATATGAAATTGGGCTTTGGGAAAACAAAAAGATTGGTTTTGTATTCATTTAAGGCCAACTTTGTTAATTCTTCTAAGTTTATTTTAATCTTTCAAATCTTTATAAGGGATTTTTTAAGTCAACCAGGGTTAGTTAATAGGGTCCTGTGCTCTCAGTCTCTAGGTAACAGGAGAATTCGAGTGGACGTTGCTGATCAAGCACAGGATAAAGGTGAGAAAAAACCTGGTACAACATTCCAAGTTGGCAGTGGTCCAGGGAAGTAGTGAGTCCTGTAGTAACAGTTCTCAACTAGTTTTGCTCCATGTGAGGCCGTGTTAAAGGATACTTGCCACAGATGAAGGGACTACGGCTTATAGATACAATCCAGAGAGTCGTCCTGTCTGCACCTCAAAGAATCCGCAACCCAGAATGTTAGTAGGTTGAGATTTCAAAGCACCGGGGGCTGAAGAGAGCTCAGGGCTTCAGAGCCCTGGCTGCTCTTCCGGGGGACCCAGGACCTGTCCCACACCTGTCTGCAACTCCAGTTCCAGGGCTTCTGGCACCTCACACAGACATACAGGCAAAACACCATAAATATAAAATAAAAATAAATTATATATTTAAAAAATTTCAAAGCACTGACTAGCCTAATTGAACCTTAAATCTACAATTAGATTTAAGCTGTACTATGAAACAGATAAATATTAAATTAATAAAAACACATTTGAAGAAAAGAATAGATGAGTTACTTTAGAGAGGGCAACTGCAAGACCTGGACCACTTCATGATGCTAGTGCAGTGGAAGACAGAAGCCAGTGAGATGTGATGTGAGGAGTGAGCAGGGTCTTGGCTAACTTGTTTTCTCTGCAGACCGGGATGATCGTTCTTTTGGTCGAGATAGAAATCGGGATTCTGACAAAACAGACACAGACTGGAGGGCCCGTCCCGCCACCGACAGCTTTG